AGAGCTAAGTTTCAGGTTCCCTGCGGTGCAGCCGTTCTGCCAACCACCTCCTCAAACACAACTCTTCTTTCTTACGAAGTGTGATCTGTCTGTCAGTTAGTCAATAATCCAAGCAGTTGTGGGGGCAACCACCTTTATTTTCTGGAGTTTCTCACATAGTGGTAGTGAACGCTGAATTGTGTTAAAAGCACTGGGGAAATCAAAAAAACATTATCCTCTCAGTGTTGCATGGTTTGTCCAGAGGGTAGTGTGCTCACTGAAGAAGGCAGAGAAGTGCTCATACTGACGCTCAGCAAAGAAAACAAAGCCAACAAAATAATATAGAATAATATAAGATAGCTGGGATCATAACACTGATTCCATGAGTTTGGAGACTGGCAGTACCCATCATGGCAGAGCAGAGAACATCTGAACTCATCAAACCAAATGACCCAGTCCACTTCTTCAGAGTCCAATCATTAAGCTGTCTAGGCAGCCTTTTTAACCCTTACTATGAACAAAGACAATCCCCCACAACCCCAAATTACTGCTGATTTTCTTTTATTCGTTTAAGTGTTTGACAATGATAGTAATTCTAAAGTTTCTTTCACTTTTTTCCACTTGAATATTACGTTTTAACTGTCTCCTTTAAAGTTTTAGTCATGCACTGCAGCCTTGGACCAAATGTTAGTGCTTTTGGTAATATCCTTCTCTTTTTTTTGGAAGATCAGAAAATTGAAATATAATTCTAAATCAGAATGGTATTGATGTATAATTTCTTCTGCATCGATAGATCCATTGTCAGGTGCACAGTTCCCTAAAAACATTCATGGAGTGTGATGCAGGATACAGCAAAATTAGTTACCAACCTTACATTTTACACAAGAACAAATTAGGACAATTGAGGACAAAAAACACATTCTAGGTAAATGAAAGCAGTTTATGCATTTTGGGTAGTGTATTTAAAAAAAAAACAAATAGGTAACAACAAAGTTTCCTATTTGACTCACATTTCATAGTAAATCAAAACTGTTGATGTTTTGTTTAGATTAATCAAATGGTAAAAATATCAGAAACATAAAATCACAACAAAGCAGAAATGGAAAGACTTATGTTGTTAATTCAGTTCAAGTTAAGTCTATTCATTCCAGTTTCATGCAGTAAATTACAGCACAATCTGTCAGTAGAGCAATTGGTCAGTTAGTACTTGAGTTGTCCTTTTGCTAAATACCTTATTATCAGATTGATTAAAAAGACGTTAAAGTTGTGCTACTCTTACTGGAGCAGTTTTTGGTTGCTCCACTGCATGCTCCAAAATAAGTTACATTAGAACTGCAGGTCAATTTCATGAGGTCAGAGTGAGTGTGAGACAAAGCAGTTTGTTTTTCAGATGCTCTGCTTTGGCAATAATACTTAATTAAACAGAGTAATAATTAGTACAAACTTATGTGTGAAAGTATCCAACATTTTTTGTGAAATAATACATATTTAAATTTTGCTATAACCTAAAACCCCACAATGTTTTTGTAGATTTTTCTGCAAAAATGTGATCCCATGAAATGATGCACATCCAAAAGAGGTGGTGCAGATTTAGCCAGGCACTGAATCAACTATGAAACAATCCTAAGGACAACCGTAAGAAATTATATTCATTCATAATACGATTCAAGCTACAAACAGAGCAGAAAAAAAAAAAATAAAAAATCAGAAAATGATGTGAGCAATAGCCAACAACGGTCGCTTATTCAGCTTGCTGACATTTGCCAAGTACAAACAAACCATCCAACATCTACAAAAGCACATGCAGCAAATACTTACCTTGGTTTCCTTCCGTCTCCAATGTAAATTAAACCCTTGAGAGGAGTCACGGAGATCCCAATCTGCCAGCAGCACAGCAAGGTTTCACTTTGCACCTTTTAAGTGGTCAGCTTGGAGCATGCTGGTGTAAATAATGAGCGTGCCCTCTGAAGCAAGTCAAAAGGATGTGCACCTATATGAAAAAGTGGATGCCATTTGTCGAGTAAGTTAATATGAGAGGAGGTCTGTGTCCAGCAAAATTTTACAAATGTTAGAATTTACAACATAACAGTTCTAAGAAAAAAAACAGAGAAGCACCAATGGAAATGTTAGCAATTCTGCTTTAAATACAACTATAGATGTAAGTTTTGCCTTATTTAACCTCTCTCTATGCATATATGATAAAAACTAACTAAAAACAAATATTAATAACAAATCAGAAATATGTGTAAATTTAAGTATTTTTCAACGAAAACAGAAAAATTACAGCAATGTCTTAGGTTAATTTGGATGCAGAATATTATGATGGCTATGATCTCCCTTTAAGCAGAGATTAACATGAAGGTAATCTCTGCAGATATTGACATATTAAGTCAGGTAAATTTAGATCAAAGTATTCATTTGGAACTGGTGCAGGATCAGCTTGTTGAAGGACTGTCCATGGGACAGAAATGTCCTTCTCCTTTTTAATGCATCACTGTGTGGAGATTCAGAAATGCAGGATGCAGTCTGTTTTTATAACTGTGCAAATATGCAAAATTGTTTCTTTTATACTTTTAAACCCAGACTGTCTTCTATCTAATTTTGTAAGTCAAATCTACTGAATGCGTGTTGAAGAAAGATGTGTAATGTCCCTTTAATGCCGACCCCGCCCACTCAGCATGTGACACAACAAGGAAGTCTATATGCAACATCCTGACAATTACAAGAGAAGAAGTTCTCTTTAAGGCGACTTCTATTTGAAATCTCCTCTTTATTTGTGGTTTACTGTCACCTGACAGCTTCATGCTTTGGTGTCTAGAAGTTAACAGAACAGGGAAAAATGCATTTATCGCTCCATTTGTTCTTTTTAATGCTGTATGTTCGGTTTGGACATACCTCGTTACCGCTGGTCATCAACACTTGGCCATTTAAGAGCGCAACGGCTGCAGGTAGGTCACAGTCCGTCCTGCGTGTTTCCACGTTCACTAAAGAGTTGAAAAGGTGGGGTCCGCACCATTTATATGTCGCTGTATGTACCGGCACTGCAAGGGTCGTGGGTGGCGTTTAAACACAAAACCTGGACATATAAGATTGTGGCCTTAATTAGTTTCGAAACCATAGGTAGGTGCATCCGCCTAATTATGGGTAGCAATTTTACTTTGAAAATTTAGTAGGATTATATTTTCTAACTGAGATTTCCTAATAAAAGAAACATGAATTTGGTTGTAAAAATGGGGGTTGAGATAAAAATGATCTATTGTTTGAAATAAGATAAAGGAATGAAACAAGGATTTACCTTCTCTGATTAATTTAAGTTATGATTATATTTGAATTTTCTGCAACAATATTATTTAATAATTCTATATTCTTGCAACAATCTGTCAACACTCTTGTACCTAATAGGACAAAAAGTTCTTATGGTAAATCATGCTGTAAATAATATTACATAGTGATCATTATTTGTTTTTATTAATCAGTTTTATTTGAACTGCATACATTTTCTTTTGCATTCATGTGAGATAAACTCCTTCACAGCTTGTGATTAGCCCTGCTGACGACTGCTGGGGAAAAAAAAAGCAAATCCATTCTTCTAGTTTGTGCTCACATGTGACAATGGTCAATCCAAGACATTTTTAAATGTAGAAATGATTTTGAATTGTTTTGACAGAAAATATTCTTTATGTGTTTGAGTAGAAAATGCTGCATTTTTACGTTGTTCAGTTTGATTCTCCTTTAGTCTTTAAAATTCAGTTTACTCAGCTTGTAACTGATCTAAAAAACCAGATTGTAATATTTACTGCTGTTGTAAACATGTATATTGAATAATTGCATTTATATATTTTTTCATCTCAAACAACCTTCTTAATTTTTATAGACTTTTGTTGCCTTACTGATATAATCTTCAGCCACTGTGATTAGCTGACTGTGTGATTAGATCAATCTCTGTTAATTATAATAGATTAAAATGTCACCTTTACTGGTGAGAAATTATAAACAATGACATTTCTGTGAATATTCAAAATTCCTTACTATTCATTAGCAAAAGTAATATGGTGTTTACTTACCTCTTGTGGACTAAATGATTAAAAAACTAGGAAGTATAATGAAAAATGCAAATGTTGCAGCTCTGAAAATATTTGTGTTGTCACATCTTTGCTGCAAACTTATTAATACCTGAGAAATTAATCCCTTGGACTAATTTTCAACCATGAAAGCAGAAAAAACGAGTGTGTGTGTCCCTGCAGAGTGTATGTGTGGTTAAGTTCAGGCCCTGGCCGATTCATAACCGCTATTTTCACGTTTCTCTACTCACACCATTAATTTTTTTTTTTCTTGTGTACTTGTGACTCAGCTAGAGCTTATCCGTATGAAAGACCAGCCGAGTCTTAGATGAGGGTATGAAATAGGCTGAACCCACGAGGATTCATAGCTGCCGCCAGCAGGCCTGCCCTCACTCTGTTTGATTTCCTTCAGGGTGATACATTGGACATGTTCAAATTGAAACTGAAAATATTTTGCCGTCGCTTGTGACTTATCCATCAAGTCGATTTCCAGTGGGTGCACAGCTCAGCGCCAAAAATGATAGAAACGGTATTCAAAACATCTTAAGCATCAGCTCAGGGCCGTTGATGATTTAAGTTCAGCTGAGAGTCTCGCACTTGGATAGATGGATGCCCGTTAATACATCAGGTGTCTGTCAGCTCTTTCTTTTTTTCATGCAGAGGAAATGAAATTGGAAAATACACCCGGGAATATTTTGTGAGAAATATTTAACAATGCAAGCCGCAAACCTTAATTTACCCCAGCAACTGTTTTCCATTGGGAGATTGCAGTAACAGGCATCAGCGGGATTATCTCCACTTCTAGTCTGCTTGTTTTTGTAAAAGAGAGAAAAAAACATAATTTACATTTGGACTGAAAAGAAAATAAAGCCGAACTAACCAGAGCATTTAATGGGAAGATGATGGCTGTAGCATCAGTTGGTGTGTTGATCCCTCAGGGGCTCTTAGGGGATCAGTGACCAAATGCTTGTGAGCCCCCCTGTTTAGCAGGAAGCCGTCGCATTGGTCATCTCGGAGATCATGCAAAACTGACTCGTTTTGGCTCAGCACAGATTTGTGTTTTTGCCAAACGCGGCTTCTTTTTCACCAACTTTTCCACATTTCGTCATGTTAGAAAAACAAAGTTTGCTGTGCTTTGGGGGGATTTTCTGTGACAGACCAACACAAGGCTGTGGAAAAATGTAAAATGGAAGAAAATTATAAATAATCTTCCTTTGTTTTTACAAATTATAGTCTAAAGTCTGGACATCTCTGTTCAACACCCCATTGCTCTGAAACCCATAAATAAATGCCTGTGCAACCAATTCATGGATCCATTTTGAAAGGTTATAAAACAATTCTTCCAGCTTTGAGCTTTTCATGAAGAACTGTGTAGTCTGCAGACAAAATTGGAAGAATTAGCAAATGCTAAGACAAGGAGCTGCAGAGATCTGCCACCTCAGGTGAGCAAATTGAGTGAGAAGAATCAGTTGCAAAGGGGTCAGAAGAAAATGTTCTGCTCAGAGGACCTGAGAGGCAGAGAAAGGAAACCTTACACCTGCACCATCCCCACCACCAGACACAGAGGTGGCACCATCATTCTGTGGGATCACTTTTCATTATCAGGTACAGGAAAGCTAAACAAGCATGGGAAGTTGAAGTTTTTTCTTCTTATTATTTTCAACTTGGTCTGAAATACACCAGAGTTTGTGATTGTAAAATTATTTTATATTCCAAAAACAACAAATATTTTCTATTATTGATCTAAAATCAGCTACTTTCCAGTGGTTTATAATATTTCATTTTAATGCTGGTTGGTTAACTTTTATCTTCTTTTTTGACCTCCAGAGTATTATTCTCATACTGTTTGTGTTCTCTTAAACATATTTTTGACCCTGCATCCTGATTGGTTGTCTTCCTGTGAAGCATGGCATGCTCTGCAGTCGGGCGGCTCCGTGTTGGACGCTGTGGAGAAAGGCTGCGCTCGCTGCGAAGTTGACCAATGTGACGGCACTGTGGGCTTTGGCGGCAGCCCTGACGAGACTGGAGAAACCACACTGGATGCCATGATCATGAACGGGTAATGGGCAGACACCATGCTTCTACACAAAGAAAGAATTAGAATTTATACAGTATAATGATTTAGAAAACAGACACAGTTACAAGTGAAGTCGGCATTAAAAGCAGGAAATGTTTTTCTCTTATATGGTTATTATTTATAACTAGCTGCCATTTGCACATCATGTGAAGCCACTGGAAACAAAATCAGCTCAAATCAGCTTGTTTTAAGTCATAAAGCTTCAACACTATCTGATGTGAGCATGAAATATATTTTAATTGACAGAAAAAAATATGTGAAGAGGTTTAAAATTAGAATGTATGTTTACATGATTCACATCTTAAAAATGCTAATCAGTCACATGCGGCTGTCAACATATTCCTTTTTATGTATTTACTTATTTTACAATTTGTGCTGCTTATTTTTATGTATCTTTAACATTTCCACACTTAACTGGCTGACCTTTCCTTCAAGCCTTCTGCAGAGACGTACTAATTAAGAGTCTCATTATGATCTGAAAGCGTTCCAGTTATTAGGTGCTTAAATACTAACATTTACAGTCTCAGAAGTTATAATGAGAAGTAAATGTCAGCTTACAACAAAAGAAAAGTAGCAAGCTGTTTACTCTTTCTCTAGTGAATGCCCCCTGAAATTTTACCCTTTTTTGTTTCTCAGTTATGACTGCATTGTGCAGGGATGTTTTCCTTTACACGATTCAATATTCATGGAGAAGAAATTTAATAAACACCAGCAGACACATTGTACATTCCTGCATAAGAGCAGGAATCTCGACAAACACCTGCCTGATGATCCAGTAGAGCAGTCAACAGATTAATACTATATCTGTAAGAAAAAAAACTATGCACACTCTTGAGATTCAAGCAGTTTTTTTTTTGTTAGATATGATCTCTGTAATCTTACCCAACACTGATTTGTAATGGAGATATATTGCTCACAGATGGTATTTGGCTGCAGTCAACCAACAGGAATGCTTTCTGTCTGCGTGTGCTTTCTGAGTAGTAACTCGATGGAGGTGGGAGCGGTGGCAGACCTGAGAAGAATCAAAAATGCTATTGGAGTCGCCAGAGCCGTGATGGAGCGCACTGAACATACGATGCTAGTGGGAGAGTCAGGTATGTAGGGATTGCTGTTCATGCACCCTGGGTGATACAACCAGGAATAATGGACTCATTTATTTGAACAACACACAGAATGTAAATTGCATTTCTAACATAACAGCCTGTTTCAGTATAATTCTATAGAGTCTAAAAGGAACCGCTTTCAGCGTCTGAGGACGCTTGAATCTGCATTAATGATCTCAATTAGAACCCAAACCTTTTAGACACAGCATAGGCTTTTAAATGAAATGACAATCATTAGGAGTAAGTGAAAAACACATGGGTCATATGGTCCCCGGAGCCTGAAGAGTATAATTGCGCACCGGTAGTACAAAAAAAAAAAAAAAAAAAAACTGTTCAAGAGCTGCTTTATGCTGTGGACGAGGAGAGAAGGATGAACAGGAACTGAAGCTTTTTACCGAGCATGATGAACAGTTCTGTTCAAAATGTTAGCAGTGAAACATCACAAATCAGCTTACTAGCAGCAGGAAAAATAAGTGCCAAACATCTCAATGTTTTTAACTGGAAATATGTTTTGAATGTTTAAATTTAGATGAAATTTCAGATGTTTTTAAAACCCACATGAAGAAATAAAAAAGTACACATGTGGAATGAAACTGGTGATCAATCAATCAAGTTTATCATAATAATAAAAAGCCTGAGCCCAACAACCAGCTGTAGGGTGACTGGAGACGGCTGCAGGTTTCTGCAGTTACCTGAAAGCTCTGCAGCAATCAAAAGACAATCAGGAAAATCCCTGCAAAGTCCCATTGTTGACAAAATGACTCTGTGGAGATATTAAACATTCAGTTTGAGGTAAAACCAAGAGATCATAAGAACCTGTGGACTGTAGTCTAGTTGTTCGACTCCATGCAGTCCAGATACGAAAGTTATCAAAAGCAGTGCTTATGTAAGGGATTCACAGAAAAACTCAATCTCAAGCATTTTTAAGTTTATACAGGAAGTGTTTGAGTTTGCAAAGAAAATTGCAGATGCAATTTTTTAAACAACCTATTATTCCTTTTCCTTCAGAACACTTTTCTTCATGAACAACTTTGTTCTCAATGTCTGTACAGCTTTATATGGAGCTTTACTAACTCTTATTATGGACATGATTATATCTGGGAGATTCAATCATTTCTGTTGTATGTCATGATATCCTTCTGATGACCAATTCATCATAATTGCTACGCCATTCCTCCCAAAGTTGAATGATGGAAACCTTTGAAAGCGGCAGCTCTTTTAAAACCAGATAAACTGATGCTGAAATGAATTAAAATTGCTCGCAGTCCCTTCTTTGTCTGTGAACCTTTTTTAAATCCTAACCTGAGGTCAAAGTGGTCTCCTATGTGCAACTTGACCCAAGTGTTTCCTCTCTCTTCGTAGCCTCTGTGTTTGCTGAAAACATGGGCTTTGTTGCAGAAGACCTGACTACCAACGAATCTTTGAATGTTTTCTCACAGTGGCTGAAGGGCAACTGCCAACCTAATTATCGAAAGGTAAGTGCATGTGTGTGAGGCTGTTTCTTTCCTCGCTTGTATCTGCCACGGGCGCACTGCTTCCAAAAGATTGATTTCAAAAGGGAAAATTGACAGGCATACTAAAGTACCTCAGAAAAAAAAAAGTCAGCTTTTGTGGTAAAGGTGATGCCCTACAGCAATGAGCTGTTGCTTCTCTTCAAAAGACTCCTCTTCATTTCCACAACAATGTCACAACATCTATAGAATCAGGGAGGCATTATGTATCCAGAGATCATCCACTGTTCCATTGATCACATTTTCTCTATTCATACTTTTAGGAGCTGAACTTATGGCTCTGAAGTTCCTGGAGCTATTATTGGAAATATCTGCAGTGCAGAAAACCTCAGAATGAGTGGATGGGAATGTTGGAAGTTGGGTTGAAATGTAACTAATGAATCAATAACTCTAAAATAATTAGTCTTTATATCTATGAATGGAGAGGTTTAGTTGGAAGTACTTTCATATGTTAGAATGGCCTAGTCAAAGTCATGATCCATAGCAATCTAAAATCTATGGAAAAGAAGACAGAGCGAAAACCTCAGTTTTTAAAGCAACATGATTTGCTCAACTAAAAAGGAATCTTCAGTATAAAATTATGGGAGAAAATATGCATATTTTTTTTTAATATGGCAAATCCAAACAGGGAATACATCCTAAAGAAGAGGAGCAGCTCAGGTTGTGGAGTAGGAAAAGACTATCTGCTGGGTTTAAAGTCTTCATTTGTTACATTGTGGTTCTTTTATACATCTGAAAACAGCTTTTCAGAAAATGGACTCAAACAAGAGAGAGGAGACACTGAAGCTTTTGGTTCTTTTTAATAACTTCTGTCGGTCAATTTGTGCTTCTGATGAATTATTTGTACAGCTGTTAAGAATATCAATCTTGCAAAAGTTTAGTTTGTTTCTTGGTTTGTTTTACGAATCAGCTAAGATGGGCAGTATTTGAGCTGAAGCCAGAGAAACAGATGTTCATCACAACTCTGCTTGTCAGTTTGATTTTCAGATGGAAACATCACTTTCACAATTCTGTCATTCCTAAACCACTTTCTGAGCAGCAATAAACCAATTAAGTACAGATTGCAGATTGGGTTCAGATTATCTCCTTCCAGTCTGACTGAAGTTATTTGGAAAAAGAAGATGTCTGCACAGCAGTACCTTAAAGACTGCAGCTGGAATTGCAGCCAAATGTGGTTGAATAGAAAAGCAAACCACACATTCTTAAAACATTTTTGGTGGTAAATGTAAAGTAAAGTTGTAAATGTAAAGTTTGTTGGGATCAGTGATGGATATAAAGTCTAATAGCTGGAAAGAGGGATCTGTAAAAACGCTTTTGTGTAGATAGGATGCACTGAAGGAGGTCTTCAGTTCTGCTTCACCTTCATACACAGCGTGGTCGACGTTGTCCAACAGAGGTACTAGAATACTAATATTACAATATAACATGATAATTCTTATCATATCAATAAAGGAGCCACTTGAATCTCAAAAGAATGATGCAAAAGTTTGACCTTTTTTAGAAGGAAGTTTAACAAAACTTGTTTTTTATTGATATTAAACGTGGATGCTCTTTAATTTTTATCAGAATAAAACTTCTACTTTAACTGGGTAGAAAAACTGATCACACTACTCTGCAGCTTAAACTGCCACTCCAAGCTCTCAGGTAATCACAGCTGAAATGATACCTAAAGCCACTCTGAATGAACATGGAGGTGCCTCACTTATGGCTTTTTTCTTGTAGTCGTCAGTTTTTAGACCTGACAGCTAAAATTACATTTGAGCTCCAAAACCATTTCCACTGAAAATCTGCTGATTTTTTTATATATTTTTTTAACTGCTTAAAATTTGGGGTACTTCAGTCGTGTTTTGCTGTGGTGAATCAGTCCCAGGACGAAAAACATGATGGAAGAAATTATCTCTGTTCATCATCTGTCAACAGAACGTCAGTCCAGATCCGTCAACGTCGTGTGGACCTTACGGACCAAAAGCAGCGCAGACACAGTGTAATGGAGAGCGGCAGGTTAATATACACTCCCATGACACCATAGGTAGGTGTTGCTGAGCCCTGGACTCAGCTTTCTACTTTCTCCGGTTGAATTCTTGTGTTTTGCATCGATTCAGATATGAAGGAATGCTCATTATCTCTTTTCCTCTAAGTATGTATTCAGGGAACCACGACTCAGCAAACAGAATCTGTTTCATGATAAAACTTAATATTAATTAAACTACAAGTTTAATATATGCTACAAGTATATGACTTGATGCAATCTGCTGGGTTTCTTTAGATGTAAACTTTTGAATAATTACTAATTATGTATTGTTTGTTTATCAGTTGGAATGTATGTGTGATTGAATTGAAATAACTTTATTCTGTGAACTGGTTCTTTACAAATAAACTGAATCAACTTGCATTTTGCTTTTTTCTTTGCACCAGGGATGATTGCCATGGATAAAGATGGTCACACGGCTGCTGGAACATCAACTAATGGACTATCACACAAGGTTCCAGGGTGTGTAGATTTTATTTCACTGATGTTCTAAAATTTCAATGTTCTGAGTATATTTTCTTCCATATGGGCTGTTTTTTCCTTTTTAATCTCTTCTATAGACACAGACTCACACTAAACCTAATGGAAACTACCGATCTTTAAACCTCTCTTGGCCTTCCTGTAAAATCATTGTAAACTTTCTTACAACATTGATCTGAAATGGATAATGCTTCTCGGGGTGACAGAGTGTTTTTTTCTAGCAATTGATCATGTCTCAGGAATGTTTATGAATTGGATTCCGAGTTTCGCCTAATAGCTGTTTGGAGATGACCATGTTGGTGAAGAAAAATACTTTCCTGCCTGTCAGAGAGTCTGGCTCCTCTCATGCTAAATACTGAGAAATGTGTGTTTGCCCAGCTCTGTATTTATTTGCAGGGAGCCGCAGTGAGAATTTTAAAATCATGCCTGCAGACTTTTACTGTCTGATTACTGCTCAGTTTTTGAACAGGAAAAATGAAGCAAGTTTGAATTTTGAGCTCGAAGATATTATGAACAAACAAAAGCAAATTCATCACTCAGTGCTTGGCAATAAACACAATCAGCACCTGTTTACTTTGTCAACAGGTGCTGAAATTTTAATAAGTGATAACATTTGATTTCATCAGGTAAAGAGCAAGAGCAAAAATTAGAGATGGAGTTTCTTCCAAAGAGCTTCAATAAGTGCAATAGATGTACTTATTGTAATGTAGAGCTGGGCGATATGGACTAATATCTTGACTTTTGTTCTCAGATTTCCACAATGTAGTATTGAAATCTGAAATCATTTGACTTAATCCTCCTCCGTATTGCTGTGAAGGCAGTAGAAGTGATGGTAAACAGCAGTTTATTAATTTGACATTTTTAAGGTAACTGTATCTGAAATCAGTCTAATCTTGAATATTTCAATGGCTGAATTTCAGATGCAAACACTTCACATAATTACTTAGTTCTGAATGTTTCTCAAACCTTTCAAGGCCCATGTTTACATTTACCATTCGTGCAACTTATGTCAATATCTTCCTTTTTATGTGCATTGAAGCTAAATAATTAGTTTGAAGGATTCTGCATAAACTTTTAAGTATCTGGCAACCTTCTGGAAATGAGTGAAGTTGTTCTTTTAAAGGCATGTTTGGTTCATTCCTCTGATCTGCTGTAAAAACATGCTGCTGAACACACCACTTTGGGGAAGTCAAAACAGGCTGTTTTTGAATATAAAATCTTCCTTCAAAAACATTTTCCCTTCAATTGCAAACTAATAAAACTATAGTTAACATTATATTTTATCTTTGTAGTGGACTGCATAAATCAAGCATGAAATATTTCCTTAGAACTTAAGTTTTCATACAGGTAGATGAGTCTTTTAGAATCTGACAAAATCAATAGAAACAAGATGCTTCTCAGTATGAAATGAACAAATATTTGTTTGCATCAGTTATAAAAGCTTTAGGATGATGTGGACACAGAATAATATCTACTGAAAAGCTGATTGCACTAACTGACAATACTTTAACTAGGTCAAGTGTTTATTTCTGAAAATGTTAAGTTCTGGAAACAAATAAATGTTGGATTGTAACAAGTGAGAACTAAACATCCAGTTTTGTGTGTATTTTGTTGTGTAGAACTTGTTAATGTTTAAATGTTGGTACTATCTGATGTGCTGCAGCCGCGTTGGAGACTCCCCCATCATCGGAGCAGGAGCCTACGCAGACAGCGCAGCTGGTGCTGCCGCCGCCACTGGAGACGGAGACATCATGATGCGTTTTCTGCCCAGGTGATTTTTTTTCTGTTTCCCAGTGATAAAACATGAGGATGGCATCACAGACACAGTCAGGCTGTGCAAACATGATCAGACCTTTCATGTTTCCCACCTCTGAATTCAGCCCTGAGTCGATACTTGAGAACACTTATGGGGTATGTCTGTCAGCTTTGCACATGTTTCCAGATGGTTTCTTTTATGGACTTTGACTGGGCCATTCTAGCATAAAAGCATGCCTTGATCTGAACCTCTCTGTTCATGTTAAACTGTGGATATCCATTGCAGTTTCAAGTTCTTTTCACCTGTAAACAGATTTTTTGGATAAAAGAATAACCACAGCAAGATGCTGCCACCACCGTGTTGACCTTTGAGGTCGGTGTGATCAGAATTGTAGAACTGCGTCGCTCATGGTGTCAGTATGTTGGAGTAGCTCTGCAATGTTAAGTTTGCTTTGTTATTTTTCTCAATTTATGTACAATATATATTTTTTATGCTTTTCAATATTTGGAAAATGATTCCCTTTGGTTTAGGATAGTATGCAGCTATTAAACTTATAAAAGATCAAACCATCTCTTCTATCGATCTTAATGGATAAACATCATAACCCTGACTTCGTTTTTCTGCCCAGCGCTCTAACTGTAGAGCCAGACAGAGATTTAAAGATGAGCAACAAAAGCAAATGTGGCGGCTTAGCAGAACTTGTCTACGACTGATTGGGTTGTGTTACTGTGGAATATCATCTCTGCTGCATGTTGAGCTGTTATCATGTCATGCCTCTTCAGAGTCTTCAGTCAGAGGCCCTTCAGATTAGTTGCAAGACGAAGTGCTACAGAGAATCAATTCAGCGCACAGCATCACCGTCCCAACAAGTCTTTGAAGATATAACACTTAATTTTCCCTTGGGATAAGAAAAGTGTCTAATGAATTGAAGGTATTATTGTTAATTTTCTTCCACATTTTAACAGTATTAGATCAAAATACATTGAATACAAATTCAAACCACGTTTCTGTTTTTTATTCGCAAAATATCTCTTCCACTTCAAAACCGAGTATTAATGTGTGTTGGTGTACTGCATAAAATAAGATAAAAAAGGGGTATGAATACCTTTGTCAGTAATTTATCGATTTATATTATAGTTGACTTGAAAGTCCAAAGTCTTTTAATATAGGGAAGAAGAGAGGTGCATCTTTAGCGTATAAACAGTCTTTTTGCTGTGTTTTCAGGTGGTTTCCAGCTATTTAAATTTACACACAGCTGATCTGTCTTGATCATGATGGCTGGATCCATCTCATGGTTCTGAAGTTTGATTTTTATTCTTCAACCGTTAAAAACAACTGTAATGTAGTTTTCTGTTTGCTTCACCTCAGCAGCAAAAGATGCTTTGATTTGTGATGTGTTGGTTTTAAGCCCTCAGCTGCTAGTGTCACCCCTCGAACACCAGACACATAAATAGAACGAGAAGAAAAAAAGAGGCATGGCTACGTTGCCCCAAAACTGTCATCGGCACATTTCTGAACAGAAGTGAGATTTTACCTTTTTTTATTTCTTTATGCTATAGCTTTTATCTCAGCCCAGTTTGGTGAACACATCTGAGGGCTGCCTGTTTAAATGTTTTTTTTTTCCATCTACCTGCTGGAGTAGCTGCTTATCAACAGACTGAGATGTGTTTATGTAAGCCCACATTTCTCCTCCTAATGGTGTGATTGGAGGCCAACCTCCTAACCATTATCCATATTTTTATAACCATCTTTGATGTGTATACCGAGGAGAAACAGCCTCTAGTTTTAGACGTTAATGACATAATGCACTATTTTAACAGAAGAAAAGCCTGCTTTCCTGGTATCTAACATGTAACAAATGACATCTTGATGTATGTTCAGAAGGATTCACAAGGGAGCAGGATTTATAAATAGCACTTTGAAAAAGCCTTGTTGTTTCACTTTAATATTTTCAGCTCAAACAAATTCAAAGACAAAAATAACTGGACCAAAACAAATTATTTTTAACATTATCTTATTAAAAAGAAGAAAACTATCCAAACCAACCATGTGAGAAAGTAATTGCCGCCCTGTCTTTTACATCTCTGGAGAAATTCTGGCCCACGCTGTTAGCAGAAAACTTCAGTCACATTGGAGCATTTTTAAAATGAATAACGTGTTTAAAGTTGTTCTACATCTTCTCAATTGAATTTAAGCCTAGACTTAGACTAGGCCACTTCCAAATCTTTCTTCTTTTCTGTCCCTCTATAATGAGAATTTTCTGGTGAGCAATTTCTATTTTCAGTTAAGTTAACTTAGTTAATTTGTTATTTGAGTAATAAAATAATCTTTTTAAAACAGTGTTTTGAAGTTACATGGATTCTCTTTGTTTTATACCAATACTTTCATTTGAAACATTTAAAAGTGACAAAAACAGAAGTAATGTAATTTGTAAGGGGACATTGTAAGCGTTTCATCAGTGGTGTTTTTTTTTGTTTTTGTCTAATGTAATGAAATGAAACTCTTTGTTTTATCACTTTGGCCTTTGAATACCAAGGTTAACAACATTGGTATTTAACTGTCCAGCAAACATAACTTAAAAGGAGAGAAAACTCACTGATTGTTGATGTTTATTTTCGGTGCTCATTTCCAGATCACATTATTATTCTGAAGGCATCTTTAGCACGATCCTGGTCTGTGACCCTCTGCAGCCTTGTTAGCTTTGCTCATGTCTTCTCCATGTTCTGCTGCCAACAGCTACTTGGCTGTGGAGCTGATGAGGAACGGGGCCGATCCCTCAGCAGCCTGCAAGTCGGCCATCTCCAGAATCAAGAGGCATTACTCAGACTTCTTTGGAGCCATAATCTGCGCTAACACAACAGGCCATTATGGTGAGTGTATGGGTTCACAAATGGACTCTTTTTCCAAAGGTAATGACGCATACCCGCTGGGATGAAGGCGGGGGTGGGAGACTAAACATAATGGATTGATTTTCACCTAATAGTGCTATGATGTTAATATACAACTTTTTTCACAAGACAATCCTGCATAAATGAAGCCTAAAAAGTTCCTTCCCATGGTTGGATATTGACATCTTTTCCATTTATTTTTAGACAAGAGCCAGAACATTTTTAAAGGAATAGCAGCCTGATATAAACATTGCTCTTTTTTTCTGCAGTTTAATTTATAAATTCACCCCTCCACCTCTAAAAACAAACAAAGAGAAAGAAAAGCACTTGACAACAGACAGATATTCGTCTTTGTTTGACAGGAATGTTTGATCCAGTGACATGCAGTGAGGTTCATGACCTGTGACGCAACGATTCCTCTGGAATCAAACGCACAAATTAAATAAAACCCAAAACTGAAGCTTAGATTCCAATTTCGACCTCAGTTGAAACATTTCGTTATGCTTTCATTGATTCCATGCTGTTCAACAAAATGATAGCTTAAATAAAGTCTATCTAAGCTCAAAATTTACATATTTTTTTGCTTGATCTCCCCTTTTTTTGTATGTAAGGTCCTCTCCACAAATTTCTCCCTCATCTGTTGGAAAATCTTCCTTGCTTGCCTTCAGGTTTTCAAATAATTCTGCTTCCCACTGTATTTTTCTGATTCTTCTCAAGTCTTTCAGTACATAAAAGAAAAGCCATTGCTGCTCATTTTGCCTTTTGAGCTCAACACTGCCCCCTATCAGCGCTGCCTTCTGCCTCACCCTAAGAATTTTCACTGGCTGATGAGAAAGATTCAATGTCAAGTTTATAAACTATATTCATGAGATTGTGGAACTTCAGGTACATTTTGAATGAAACATGCTAAGCGATATAAAGACTGCCTGCTTCATTGACCATAAAAACTTCTGATTTATAAAGAAAACTGATTTACAGTGAAGTGTCAAACTGATTTTCCACTTATACTTGCATCCTCTGACTTTACGTTACTCTTTTTAACACATTTCCCCAACTGCAGTGCAAGCTCCAGGCACAGATGATAAAAACAGGTTATGTGAACAAAATTGGTAATTCTGTGTGGTTTTGCTTGATGCAGAATGTTATACATGAAGGTAAACACCAGAATAACTGTAAATGAGAATATATCCAACTCTAGACTGCAACATGATATTGTGAATAAAAGGTTAAAAGTTTTTTATGAATTTCAAAGCTCCTGGGAAAACTGAGTAAAATGTATATTTCCACCTGAATCGAGTGGAGATATAAAAGTCTTCAAAAGGAAGGAACGTTTTAGCTTTAGTTTTTTAACAGCTGTGTGATGTGAGATATGAACCAGTCAACAATCAGGATTCCTACATATTTGCCTGCAGACACCAACTCAAGCTTTGAACCATTACAAGTCTGATCTACAGATTTTGATTTGGAAAGTATCTTTTCTTTATTTTATTTTTTTGGTCACCATTCAGAACTAGTATAAAATTGAACAAAGTCTATTTGGAACGATCCAAAGGTAGTTGGAGATATGGCGCCAATGCCAGCATAAGAACATTAGATCCAAGAGCTAATCTGTTAAATTGTGACACCCTCTCTTTCTATTTTGTGGCCATTAAAAATTAGCAGATGTACAGAGTTTTTTAATGATGAAAACATAAAATCACCAAGAAAAAGGAAATAAATCGGCCAGTTTCTGGCACCATAATGTGGATGAGGAAAGTGAAGTCGCTGCCCATTGGGCGGAGACTGAGATCCATAAAAAACAAAACATTTTTAACAATCCTCATCTGAACACTGCGATGTACAGAAGAAAAAGCGACTTCTGGTTATGAGTGGGGATTTATCATAACTGTGAAAATACTTGACAAATTTTGATTTCTTATGAGTTTACATAAAATTTTTAATGTGAATTATTTTACCATTTTCTTCATTGTCATGAAAACATTAATACATTAACAAATATTATTAAATGCACTTAGTGAAGCCTGTTTCAATTGAGTGTTATTTAAGATAAATATGTTTGTGGGGTTATAATTACTGCAGTTACCTAAAAAAAAAAAAAACTATGCAAAGAAGTAATCAATACTTTTTAAATTATTACTGCAACAGAACTACAAAATAGTGTGATCAGATTTTAATTACATATGACTCACTCACTTTTTCCAATTAGGTGCCTTTTTGTCCGCAAGTGAAAGAACTGATTTATCTTTATTCTACAGATTTTGTTTTTACTTTAAACAAAGAAAAAATAATACAAAATAAAACAGAATACCAAACCTAAATTTCAACACATCAGTTCTGAAAACAAAATAAAGTTCCTTGTATATTATTATTTAAAAAAAAAAAAAAAAAACTTTTTTTTTCATTACCGATTTCTGATGAGAACATCACACAGATCTCAAGATATTAAAACCTGAATCTGAATCCATATTTTTCAAAGACATTAATGTGAATACTGGAGCAAAACATTGCTTTGTAAGCAGTGTTCACATTATGTGCTTAGGATTATAATGGTACAACTGATGGGTGAATTTTCTGTTTGATGTTTTAGAAAAATACTTTTTTTTTAAACAGAGGTTCTGCATTAGTTACATCGATTTATGTTTTCTCTAAAGGTTACTGGATCTGAGACACACATCAAAGTATCTTCTGCTTTTAGGTTTGTCATCCATTGTTCCTCCTGGAGCTCCCCCAAATCGGTCCAGCCCTCAAAATTTTGTTCTCATGGCAACAGTGGCAAACTTTGAAACCCACACATCTTTTGGCTTTCCTTCTTTAACGCAGGTCTTAATCCTCTTTCAGCTCCAAATAACACATTTTCCCTGATATTTACAGTTTAGTCACAATAATAGGAAAGAAGCAGCAGGATTAATATGTATCTTAAACGGAGGTAGAGAAAGGTCTCAACATGCATTAAACAGGAATGTAGGAAAAAATAAATGAAATCACGTTGTTTTAGTGATAATGAAGAAGAAGTGTTTCTGTCTAACAGGTGTGTTTATGTTTTCTCAGGTGCAGCGTGTAATAAGGTCCCCAGCCTCACACAGTTCCACTACATGGTGGCCGACTCCGAGTCAGACACAGCAGTCCTAAAATCTGTGCCTTGCTTTTAAACAAACTCAGTCACATTATCTCTGGATTACAAGGTGAATTTTTATTCTGATCATTTCTTTTGATAAAACAAGTATAAAATCACACCAATAAAACATTACAAAATAAATGGAAATATATTATTTTTTATTGGGTCATAATCTGAGGATGGATTATAATCAGGTGTCCTCATCAAAAGTTTTATTAATTTCAAATTCACACCACAAAGAAACTAATTATTATAGAGTCATTCAAAATGTTTTACCTTGTTTTTTGTATGTATATATACTTCAATGTTGCATCACACCTGTAAAAGTAATTTTATATTTTTTGTTGAGAATTATTTACAAAGAAGTCACCGACACTCTGCACAAGGAGGGCAACCAACAAAATGCTGCTCCAAAAGTAGCTGACTGTCAGGACTACAGGATTCAAGAATACTAATGAAATTGAAAGTTTAGGGGAAGGAAAAAGTGTGGTAGTAAAAGGTGTGCAATTATTAGGGAGAGAGTGCAGGTTTTTAAAGAAAACATAGACTGTGACTGAAGTCACACAGACGAATCCATGACATGAGCAAGAACTGAACTGTGTTACGAACCAGAAAAATCATTACATCTGAAAGACTGAACTGGTTTCAGGGTCTTTCATGTAGAACAAAGTAAGTTTTGCATTTCAGTCTGGAGATGCAGAGTTCCTGGAGTCTCTTTTTGACAGTTTGAAAAACTGTAAATAACCAGTAATATATCGCCTTATATGTATGTAATATCTTAGTTTCACATTTTGATTTCAGTGACTGAAATAGAGTTTTTCTATGATCTTTCTAATGTATTGAGATGCACCTGTGAGGCTTTGATGAGTTAGCAGCCAGGGAGGATGGAAAGTCCTGGCCTGTTCTCGGTCCACTGGAAAAAGTCGCATTGTTTACCCTTTTGAAAGCTGCAGGTGAAGAAATTCCTGCCATTGTTTGGACCCAGCTTCAGAACCGTCCTCATTAAACAGCGTTTCCCATGGTGACAAAAAGGAAAGTGCAAATCAGCCCACTGCAACAGCGGAAGGGGGGAGAAAAGTTGTTTCTTTAGTTTTAAACTTCTATTGTGGACAAGTTGAAAGAAAACCCAACAAAAAGAAGTTGGCTTTCAGTGTCACCTGAAAGAAGTTGCACTTGTTCTCTCTTGGCAGGGAGCAGGAATAAAACTGTCGTCCTTTATTCTCACCCTCCTTGTGGACCACTCTGAGGACGGTGGGACGACGATGGGATGAGCAACAAGGGGCACTGGGAGGAATGGAGGCTGCAGTGTTTGCTGCCTCTGTTCTGCACACACTGACAGAAGAAGAAACAGTCTTATTATTGTGAAATATGTTGCGGATGAAACACAGGAAATGCCTGTCACATCAACACTTATTAGCAAGCGAGGGCCATCTTTTCAGCCGCATGTAACAATGTTTGTTGGCAATTATTGTATATGGCCGCTGCAGTGCCATGGCAATACATTTTTGAACATTTTTTTAACAACGTTGCAAAGAATCTTTTTCCTAACTCATCTGCCTGAACTTGCAAACAAAAAAGAAAAAAAAAACTTATCTTATTATAAAGTTGTTCATTATTTGGCCAAGGAAGAGGTTCGCTCACCCTGAGTTGGGGGTTCCATTTGGAGGTTTGTTACTGGGAAGGAGGCTGTGATCAATTCTCATTTTCTTGGAAGGGTGACTGTAGGAGGCCAGTGATTCCCCCTTGGAGAGCTCTGCACTTTGCTTCTGCCAGCCACCAGAGGCATAATTGGCGCTTGTTGTCCCTTGGCAGAAGCTGTTTTTATACAAACCTCGTTCTGCCGCCAAGGAATTCAAATGACTGCCGGCTGGGGAGAGCGGGGACTTTACAGGCTTTGGCTTCTCAGTCATGTCGGAGAAAACGAGGGTGGAAGTCCCGAACGCAGACGTCCAGTTGACTTTGAGCTCCTCTCGCGGCTTCCTGAAGGCGTTGCAGGGGTATTTAATTAAATCAGCAGTGAAGGGCGATGCTTCAGTGCTAATGTCGTCTTTGTGAACTGTGGAGATGGAGCCAGAGTAAGAAACTCAATTTATGTTCAGCAGCTGCAGCTCATTCTGATGCACTGGCTGCTCTCACTAAAATCCAGCTTGTTGTTAGTTTAAAGTGGTTACCATAAAATTTAACAGCAAGCAGCACGACTGCCATGCTCTGTTTTTGAATAAAAGTACCATAATATACAGAGATGCAGAAATTGAGCCAAAGATTTGAAAATCTACCTGCTCCTAATAAACAATGAACTCTGAGTCAAAAAGAACAAGCAGAATATTTATTGATTCTGTTCCTCAAAAACCTTCAAAACAGAATTTTTATTTTTATGCATAAGCCTGTATGTGTTGATGCACACAAAGTAGGATTTTAAAGACTTTGCACAAAAAAATCATTTAATCAGAGTCAATATTACTGCCAGTTTTATGCTGTCAAGCCAAGATAAAACCATACCCCCCCAAAAATACACTGTGCTTGTTGGGATGGGAAAAAGGCAGCACTTTGATAAGACTGGTTGGAATATTTACGCTGTATTGTGAGGACCATACAGATGGTTAATAATTGCATTCATAAAATAAAAAATCAGGAGAAAAATTATCTTGATGATCTTTCAATGGCATACTTTGTTGAGCAATGTGAAGCTGCAGCAACATATTTACACCCAACTTTGATAAAATAAAAAAATTAAAAAATCTATCTGAGTGGATGTTGCTGCCATCTTCTGTTTCACCTATGCTTGGATATTATTTTATAAGTAAATAAAACAACAAAATAAATAAAAAATAATATACAAATAAGAAATGTTCACCTTTTTTAAAAATTTAAATTGAAAAATTTAACAGAAACTATAGTAACAGATTTGTAGCTTGCCAACTACACAGTGGATTTCCAGTAATTTGCATTTTTTAAATTCGCAGATTTGTCTGTGGAACATAACTACAATTTATTTGAAGAGAATTTGCCTATTTCCAGTTTTTTCCATAGAAGTTTAAAATATTTGAAAGAAAGTGCAGTTTGGGAAACTGAAATGCCTGGATGCTCTTTGACACAGTATTGGCTAAAAAAGCAGGTGATCCAGCTGCACCATTCATTTGTCTTTGGCATTGATTGGCTGAACCCAAAGGAGTGGAGATAAAGAAGACCTTTGATGTTAGCTTCTGTACTAGAAGCTGGTTTCTATTGAGTTTTAAAGCACATTGAGCAATATTTATGTTTGAACTACTAAATATGCAGTAATTCATGTTTTTATAGGAAGTCTCAAGTATTTCAGATTTGAGTTATTCGCAGGTGGTTGTGGTCCCTAACCTGCATGAAAACCTGTGGCCACAACGTTACTGTTATAAACATTGTTCATGTAATGAGATGTGACATTTTAGCAGCTTTAAAATCTGTTTAAGACCTTGGAGTACCTTCACACAAATAACTCTCCGGTTCCCAGCGCTCAGTCAGGTTCGTATGGAGCAAAATATGTTTATTATCTTCAAAGATTTTAGAGGAGTCCATAAAAAAATGCAACCAGTCTCATGTATTATTCTCATTCATGTCTAGTGGAAAATGTTGGGGTTTTACATAAACACAAGCTGTTTTAAAGTCTGGCTTCTCATGTCTATTATTTTAAAACAGCTCAGAGCAATATTGTAAAAATCCTGATGATTACAAGTGCAGTTTCTTTTGTACACTCCTCCTTTAGAAGTGAGAAATTCACTTCATGAGATGGGACCAAAGAGGATTTGTTGTGGCACTGATTGAATAAAAAATCCCTTAAATTCAAAGCTGTAAAAATGAAACTGCAGCCCCACAAAAAGCAGCTGTGAACTCATGTTATTCAGCTCTTCAATCTGCTGTGATCTTAAAAAAACAACAATTGATGTATTCCAAATCGAGCAGCATGGTCTCAAAGAGTTGAAGCTATTCAGCTGTAGTTTGGCTGCTGCTGCGGCGACAGAGCGAGGACGCGTCTTTCTGAGCAAAAGTTCAGTGCAGCCGTGAGCGTCTGAAGACAGCTGGAGGAAAATGACCAGCTGACAGACGTGGTCATTATTTGTGGAGCAACATACGGCCGCTCTCATCACAGAGGAGTCCGCCCAGTTGACTCCGGTCGCCACTGCCTCTCAAAGCATTGAAGCATTCTTGTCAAATTGCATGTTATTATTCTGCTACACAGCAAAAGAAAACTTGCTCTTATTTTATCGCTTGTTAACAAAGCTATTCTGTCACCCCATTAGATAATGGGACAGTAAAAAGACAGAAAATGTTCACTCACCCTCAGGTTTTGGAGTGAGGCATGCATCACAGGCTCTGGCTTCTGGCTGGTTGATGAGCGTGCAGAGTTGACAAGCCCAATCCTCTTCCTCCTTCTCAGCCACATCATTGCTGGTTCTGTTGTGAAACGCCCAACTGATGAGGCTGTTTCTAACTGGGAGCGCACTGGGAGAGCAACACAGAGCAGCCAAGGTGATTCTAGTAAGTCTCTGCAGCTAAAATAGACATTTTCCACAACTAAAGAGTAACAGAAAAATGTGCTTTATGTTCTTCGCTAGCGGTAGTAACTATAATGTAAACAGAACATAAAAGAATTACAAAATGTTCTTCCTTTGCGTCAAAAGGCATATGTTCATAACTTGTAACATTTTTGTTCGACCAAAAAAAGAACATCAAAGTACACAGGCTTGCCAAAAATCCACCTGGATTTAACTAAGCAAATACAAATTTATTGATAACTGGATGAGTGATTATCTTTCAGCTGGCAACAAGTTGTCAAACCCCAATGATGCAGCAGGTAGCTTCCCATTTCTTAGGGCTAGTCAACACAGGAACATTTTTATTTATTTTTATCTGAAATAGGACGGATAGTTTAAGTTTGACCCAATCATCCAACGGAAACAGCGTTTGGCCAGGCAGTGTGCAGCTTGGACAGGAGATGGTGAGCCTTCTAAGAGCTGCTGCATAGAAAAAGTCTGACTTCCAGTATTTGATCAGCTCTGATCAATAATCAGAGCTAAGAAGTTGTTCTGTTCCAATATCTGTTCAATTAATTTCAAACTTTCTCCTACAGACTTTATGCATTCAACAAGGCTTTTGTACTGTGAGTGGTTTTTATTTAGCATCTGATGCACATTGTTTATTCAAAAATCCCAACAAATCAGACAAAAGATGCGTTGGTAAGTTATGTTTTAATAAATCAGTGGCTGATCCTGTAAAATATTGGGGCAATACTTTTCATCTCCAATAGACAAACAACTGGATCCAACTTACTAAATTTTAAACAGAAGCAAGATTTTTTTTTTCTAAATCTATAAAAAAAAATTTAAAAAAACAGATTTACTATATCAGGTTTATATTTTCCATATGAAAATTGATTAAGGGTAGAAAAAAATTAAATCACCCTAAGTCTAACTGTGATCTCAATATAAAATACAACTTTTACATTTTATTATATTTTATAATGATGTTCTTTTGTTTAAAAAAAAAAAAGATTTCCTTGAGCTGATGGATATGAAAGATTCAACACAACTAAAACAGCAGCTTTTAAAAGAAATAATGGGAAATCTGAAGAAGAAGCTCATTTCAGTAATGAGTGGGTGGTAATGATAATGATCATAATGACTTCTTCATGCATCCATTTTGCTGGTATTGCTTCACTTTATGAAGGGGTTGTTTTTTATGAGCTCGGAGTCTCAGAAAAAGATTTTCATAAAATAAAAATCCAAGTAAGCTACAGAAGGATGCAGTAATTAATGTTGCGGTTCAAACATTGGATGCAGATATGAACGAACACAATGTGTTTTTTTTTAAAGAAGCTTGGAGCATAAATGTTCTCACTCTGACATGAAGCTGGGGTATGTTTGACAAAAAGGCAAATCTGCAGGAGGAGGAAAGAAGCAGTGGCTTTGGAAAACTTCTCACAGATTGCTTTATCAGCTGTGTAATGCATTGTAAAGGCTTTGCATCCTAACCCCTCAAAGCTTTGCTCAAACACAGCCCAGGAGGTGTTGAGCCTGTGCCCTGTCTGGCAAACACAGCCTTATATGCGCATTAATTCTCACCCCATAACACTTCCCACTCCCTGCCAAGCCCATCTGCCTGCAAAGATGGCCTCTGTGAATGTGAGCCTAACATCTAAAGCGTGGCGCTACTTCTGCAAAGTTAGGGTTTGGAACTCAGATTTGGCTCAGCCGACGCTTCCTGCTGGTGGGTGTGTCATATTTCTGATAAAGACGACAACAAGACAATTTCAGGGCTTTTAGGGTTCATGGGACCAGTTTCCAGATGGGAAATCGACGTTTCTGGCATTAAAATAAGATGTCACAAAATATTTCAGGGATTTTCTGCATTTTTCTTTTTTTTTTTTTGTGAAAACTGCTAAAAAAATAAATCCCAAAAAATAAATAGATAAATAAATTAGCTAGCGCCACAATGAGAGCTCACATCACACTGACTGTAAAATCTCTTCAGTGACTACCCATATGTTTTATTGTTTTTTCTTAATTAAGTTTATTTATTGTTCAATTTACTTTTATTCTACCAGTCCAGCAGAGCCCTCAAGGCTTTCATTTGGACCTGAAATAAAAAAACAAAACAAAAGAAAACCCAATAAAACACCTTATTAATTCTGGCCGTAAGCTTTGGAAGAAACCTGAGCACAGCTCATATTTGCTTTTTTATAAAAACCAAATAAAAAAAAAAATTCAGCTTGGCTTTCATTTGAATTTTAGAAATTTGGTTTTATTTTATTTATCAAATTTTGCTAATCAAATTTTAACATATCTTCATCAGCTTGTGTTGCATATTTTATTTTTTCTTAGTGTAATCAGTGATATTCATTGTTTTAATTGAGTTTTTACCATTACTTCGGATGTCACCGTAAGTGAAGCATAATTTTATTTCTAAATATTTTTTTTTTATCTTTAAGCGTTTTACGTTGCTCATATCAGTCCCTGTGTTTCCTCATTTACATTTTCTATTGTACTTTCTTAAATCTTGTCGGAGCAGAAATACGTTAAAGCGTTGTTTTTAAGGGAAAAGATTTCTGGCGCCAGAAAGGTCGATCTGACCCGATTTTATCTGGAAAGTACAAAATGTTGGACCAAAACTCGAGTTGGAAAGTAAGCTGTTTAGATAGATAAGAACAACAACTATTAATAATTGACTTGTTTTTCAGTTCTGAGATGGAGCAGATGTTCAAGAAGAGGTCAGTCAGAAATTCGTGGAAACTCCAACACACACTCAGTCAATGGGCAGCCAGAATCTTGACGCAAAACCGACGTCATTGGAAGCTATAAGAATGTCTGTAGACAAAGAACGGAGAGATTTTGGGGACTTTGATTTTGAGACTTTGAGATTTGAGAAACTATGTTTTGTATGATGCATCCGTGGTAGAAGAATGTGTTAATAAATCTCCCGACCCGTCATGGCTGGCAGTAAGAACTCGTCTCTGTGGTTTGTTATGTTTATCTACATATTTGAGAGTTTTTTCGCCTCACAATTCTCCAATAATCTTCTTCAAATTACATTTTTATGTAATTACCTAATTATTAGTATTTAATCTACTTATTGCAGCATTTTAAGAATGGATTTTAGTTGAGTTTGCATGATTGATTCTTTCTGTTACATTTGATTATACTCATCAATAATTAGAAGACAATGATTAATTCATTAAACACCCCAAACCTTCAAACAAGCAGCTTTTACAGGAATGCAAAACAATAGTTTCTCCGTCAAAAGCCTACAAGGACGGTACCTGACGTCCAATCCGGTGGGATCTCCCTTCTGACAGCGCTCACAGAAGTACGTCATCCTGCCGTTGTCTCCGAGACGACAGACTGTAATGACATGGGAGCACTGGCCACAATGGGGACGCTTGTAGACTTTGTAATGTTTGTAGAGAGGAGAGCCGGATTTGCGACACTGAGAAAGATGAAGAAAAAAACAAGATTGTCAAAGGTAAAAGTAGCTTTTAATAACAGCATTTTACTTACAAAATGACCAACCTTGTAAAACAAAAGAGTAAAATCACGAGTCATCTTCACTAAATGGTGGATTTGTATGTTTGTCAACTGTTGAACCTAGAAATGAAGTTTTCCATGAAACAACAAAAAGACATTCAGAGTCAGTAAGGCTACACAAACACCTAAACCATGAAAAAATAGATATGGATAGAGGCAGAGGTCAATGATTCAAAAGATAAAAACTGCATATTGTATATTCATGGGGATTGCAGCAACTTTGCATAAGAGAGAAAAATATATTTTTTGCTCTTTTAGGGACTTGGAGGCTTGATAATGGAGGGGAAGCTTATAAACATTAGGCAGCCCCAGGAGAAGACGGGGCTAAAAGTCCGAGATTAATGTTTTGGTCCAGCGTGCCGATACACTCTGAGGAGGCCAGTCAGCCTTGTACAACAAATCCTCAAGTAATAGTTGAGTATTAGAAGTTTTTACACCACGAAGCATCCAATCAGTAACAGATAGGTCAATAAAGTTCTCAATGTGATCCTCATCAAAATAACAACTTTATTAATGTTTATTTAATAACTCCATGCAGCTAACCGGAGGGAGAATCCTCTTGGGTCTGTCTGCAGTCATATGCATTCAAAGTGCACAAAAAGATGGAATATATGTGCCGCAATGCGCTTGTTTGTCTTATCCCCTTTTCACCTTCCTCATTTCCATGCAGCTCTCAGAAATACATGAGCTTCCGCTATTCTTCCCTGTGAGTGTTGTCTTGCATTTTTACCCTCATTTTTTATTCCTCTGCTGAACACAATCCATCATTTCTTCTATACCTTCACGGCTGGGTGGAGGCCCGAGTCAAACAGGGCTTCGTTTTTAATGATGTTGCCGACTCCTGGCATGACGGCTTGGTCTAGGAGAACGTCGCAGAGCATCCTGCTACCCTGGCTCCTCACCGCCTCCTCGGAGCGGGAGCAGCTGAACCTGGAGGAGCACACATCCAGACTCTCCATGGCCCTGACCTTCTGCTCGCAATCCTCCGTCAACCTGCAGGAAATACAGTTCCCCAGCACCGGGAGGATTTAGAAAATACATCGCTGCTGTTTTCACTCCAGGTCAACTGGAGATCTAGAGAGGTTATACATTTCTAAATTGTTTGAGGTTGTTTATTATTAGCCAAAAGAGCGTAGGTGAAATTCTCAGACAGTAAAAATGATTGTATGTCTTGCGTCTGAGCATAACACATGAAAGACTATGATCAGGACAAATGCCGAACAAAGAAGGCAGCATTTTTCATGCAACAATAGCCACTGTCTTCAGAAGCAGCCTAATGTAGGACATCCTCACTAAATCAGACGCATACCCCAAGGTGAACTCCTGTCACCTCAATCTATCTTGCCTCCACTGTTGTCCCCATTACCTTATTTCCACTGTGCTGTCATAGAAGGCCACAGTGTCGTCGCTAAGGCGTATTTCCAGCACTGCTGCAGAGCCCGCTACAACCTTCCTCTGAGCCGGATTTATACGGATTGATCCATTCATGCCGAAGTGGATTCTAAATGTTGAAAGAGAGAAAAGTGGAAAATAGTTTTAAGTGTTGAATATCTGATTTTAATTAGAGTTTGACAAAATAAAGAAATATGGTTCTGGGAACTGAAGATTTGAGTTGGGGCTGAATGCGCAAAATAAGAAATTTTACCACTGAAACTTGTCATAACAATATCGACACCATCAAATATTTTCTTTCTTTACCATTACACAAACCATACTGTAAGATTTGGTATCTCAGTCAATGAAAACATACATCAGGTGTGGTCAATGAGGACAGACGGATGATTATGGATGGATGGATGATGAATGAATTACAGATTGGCGATGTTTATAGAGGGATTGAT